TATTCATTTCCATGCTTGGTCGGCTCAGGAGATTTTTGTGGCCTAGCATATGTGCTGATTCCTTAAGTTTACGAATAAATATGGCGTCAAAGATTAGGACAATAGTCGGAATAATGTAAATAATGTACATAATGCCTCATCTCAAATGAATTACTTATATCGGTTACTCTACCACGTCATTGAGTAGACGCCTTACGTGTCACTTATCTGACCATAGTGCCATAAAAAAACATTTATTAATCCATAATCTACAAGAATTATTAAGGAAAACTCTAGTCGAAAATACAAGAATTCCATATAAATCAGATTATCAGGCACATCTTGCTGTTTGGGACGCCCTGTATATCAAACAATTCTCCCCTACCATCAGCCTTACATTATTTAATAGAGGAAATGGAGTGTTGAAATTATATTAAAAAAAAAAAAAAAAGTTATCTCGATAATAATTTGGCACGCAATGTATATATATATATATATATATATATATATATATATATATATATATATATATATATATATATATCTGATTGAGCAGTTTAGACATGTGTTTGTTTATTTTCTATAATATCCTATCGTAATCACATATAAGTTTCATTGTTTCATGATTAAAGACAGCAAGGAAGGTAAAAAATGTTCCCAAGTACTTTCGATATATTCCAATATCATGTTCAGGGTTATGATGGCTGATTTTTAACTTTCCCATGTTGTAAAAATTCTAATGTAAGGGAGGTATTTTAGTTAAAAATTGAATTCTTGTTACGGGGTTAAATTTTGCCTGCATGTGAAAATTTTTTACTTTTAACATAGACATTTCTAAAGAACCATATATTACATTTGTTCTATATTCAAAATTAATTTTAAGTGTTGGTTTTAATTTTTTTAATAAAGATATCTACAAGAATTTGTAGTTTCTGTTTATTACGTTTTGGTGAAGTTTACAGGTATTGTCCACTAATATTCTTGTAAATTGTGAATGTGGACAGGAATGTTTTTGCAGATGTTGTGCTATGGATAATGAATCATTCATGTGTAGACTGAGCCGTCTTGATAACATTATTCTAGAATAGCTATCATATATATTAGCATTTTTTGTCGAAATTGCTATCTCACAATGGACATTTAAATTGATATATAGTGTTGGTATTCTGTAATACATTAATTAGCTGGAAAGAGTTATTATGGATGATTAAGTTGTATTAAATTTAGTATATAATTAATTTTATTTTTTTTTACTGGGATCTCTGGGGATATATTAGTATTTAAGAGGGTTTTTTAGGATTTTTTTCATCTTGTTTGTATTTAGAATTCATCTGGTGACAATATAAAAGATTGATATGTTTAGGGTTATTTGAGGAAGTATTATGCTCTATTTGATTTATATTAAAATTTGTAATAAATTGCCTTATTTGTTCATCAACAATGTAGTTTTGAGAGCCGTTATTAATAAGAGTTTTTAATATTTTTAGTGTAGAAAATCTTTTTTTTCTGGATGAGTTAACTTTAACACGGTTTATAAAATTTTGTATAATTGCTATTTTGTAATAGTTAGGACATCCACTCTCAATTTCATCAATATTTTTTTTACTAAGATGAGGATATCGTCAACATATCTTAGGTTGAAGGATTTTCCAAAATATTAAATATATATTTTCGATGTTAGCCATATAAAAGTTACTAAAGGTTGGACCCAGAACTGAACCAATGGAAACACCATTATATATATATATATTGTCATCCACAGACAGGCTGTTTCGCAGCTCGTCAGTGTGGCTAGACGTTCGGTTGCCTCTAGCTAGGAGAGAAACCCGACTGAATTGGCGCCAGTCGGGGATTCTACCACTAAGCCGTTGGCGCACGACAGGGATGAAGGTGAATTTAAGCAAATTTATTTTTAGATAAACACACAGTGACTGAGAGAACTCGATTCGATTTACCGAAGAGTCTTGCATTATTAGCCGTAATAGTCACTGTTTACAAACCCACACTTCCTCCCCAGAGAGCTCAACTGAAATAAATTTTTCAGGAGCATATATATATATATATATATATATATATATATATATGTGGTCAAAGAATGGAACTTCGGTAGTACAATTTAAAAAGTAGTTTCCATAATATATTGTGTCTAATTTCTAATGGATGGAGAGATGGATTAGTATATATATTGTTTATAATTTTGTTGATTACTTCTTGATATGTCCCGGAAAGGGATATATTTGAACGAAGTAGCTAAGTGGTTTTGGCTACTATAACCAAGTAGAATACGGTAGCAGTAATCGACTGGTACGCGTCGTAGCTGCAGGTAAGAAGTGTAGATCAATGGCGTAGTCCAATGGGCGTCGTTATAGACTTAGCTCCCAGACTAAGGCTCTTTGACTCTTCTACACGTCCGTCGGTATTTATGACGGACACCAGCCAATCATATGCCTGTGAAGGGGAACACAGGTGCACGCATATTCCATTATATCACTTCTTTAACTGGGAGAATAAATTTTCGACATTAAGTGAGTCTATGGTTTGATTATCAGGTTTTTGTGTCTTTAGGATTTGGATTAATTCAAGAGTTGATTTGATTCTGTATTCACTGTTGATGTAGGGTGTAATAAGTTGGTTAATGATTTTGGTTAGTTGATAAACAGCAATCGGGGTTTTGGGATATAATAGGACGTATAGGAAAAGTTTGGTTTGTGTGTGTTCTTATGGTTCCAGAAATGTAACCTGGTTTATAAAACCAATTCTTTTGGTACGTTTGAATTTGACTTCTTCTGCATTATTGGCTGTGATTAATTTGTTGATTTTTAATTTCAGCTGGTTAATAGCATCCATATTAACTTTTTGAAATTTGACGTGATTCTATTTTTGAACTATAATCAGATTTTTTTCAAACTACAAAGATGTTTATTTTGCCAACTTGACAATTATATCGAGATGTTTACGTAACTTCTTGGCAGCGATTTTTAATGGTCGAGTTAGTTGTTTAAAAGAATTTTTTTCACTTTGTCATGTCTATCTGTTATAGCTTCCGGTTCAGTTGTTATCTTTTCTTTTTCTTGAAGTGTTTTTTTATACTTTGATACAACAGATGTATTTCAGTTTTTTATTTATTTATTTTTATTTTTTTAAATTTAAACTATTATATTTGCGGTACAGATGTGTTGTGGTAGGATCCACCTAATTAGCATAGCGGAGTACCGATCATATAAATATGGTTGGTACCGGGAAGAGAGGGAGGAATCAAGAGATTCAACCAGAGACTCTGGCCGACTGCGACTCAGTCAACACATTCTCCAGGAACGGTCTTACCAGGAATATACAAAAGACTATATGTAAATATTGTGTACACTTTCTTGTTTCAATACATTTTGTTCTAAGTACATTTTGTGTTGCATTATTATTCCATGCATTAGTCAAGTTTCAACAAGATGACAGCTGGGTCCGATATTAAGTCATATCTTTTTATGGTTAGTTAATTCCTAGTTGGAAATATTGATAATTTTATCCATTTTGTTCGGAAGATAGATAGATCCTTTATATAATGAATTCATTTTTTGTGTGTGTGTGGCGGGGGTAGTGATTTCTGTAAGTCTGTGTATAATTTATTTTATTTGATCATCAGTAGCTGTCTTTTTGGGTTATATTGTAGATGTCTTTTTCGCATGACCGGAACTGTTAACGGTTTGTCTTAGCCATTATAAGCCTGAAGAGGATAATGGATTATAACGAAAGCACTTGGGAAAATAAAAATGAATAAATACAAACATGGTACCTTCCTTGCTCACTTTAATCATAAAACACCAAAGATTATATGTGATTACCAAAGGATATTATGGAAAATAACAAACACCTGTTTAAATGAAAATATGCTGCTAAAATATAGGGAAAATACACACACACACACACACACACACACACACACACACACACACACACACACACACACACATATATATATGAACATAAATTAAGATACAGACACAAAGCTAGCTAGCTAGCTAGCTAGCTAGATAGATAGATAGATAGATAGATAGATAATGAACTGAGTGAGATAGATAGATAGATAGATAGATAGATAGATAGATAGATAGATAGATAGATAGCAACAATCTGAGATAGATAGATCGATCGATAGATAATGAATTTATATTGATAGATAGATAGATAGATAGATAGATAGATAGATAGATAGATAGATGAATAATGTACTGGTTGATATATATATATATATATAGATGAATAGATAGATAGATGAATGAATGAATAGATAGATGATAGATAGATAATGTACTGGTTGATATATATATATATATATATATATATATATATATATAGATAGATAGATATAATGTACTGGTTGATATATATATATATATATATATATATATATATATATATATATATATATATATATATATATATATATATAGATAGATAGATAGATAGATAGATAGATAGATAGATAGATAGATAATGTACTGATAGATAGATAGATAGATAGATAGATAGATAGATAGATAGATAGATAGATAGGTAAATAGAGACAGACAGACAGAGAAGTAGTGAGAAAATATGAAAGCGAGCACTGAACATATCGCGATAGCTAAATAGATATATAAGAACACACACATCAATTTATACTGACAATAAGTTTTCAGAAAAAAAAATTAGCGGAAGTGAATTGACAGAATCGGGGAGGCAAGAGCGTGGGCGTCGGTGTTGGTGAACCGGAAACACCTTTTATCGGCCATTTTGATTTCCCGCTCAGCCCGACCTTTCAACGGAAATTGTTTATCTATACCCACTTTTCCTTCCTGCCTTGTTTTCCTATTATTTTGTTATTTTTTCATTTCTCTTGATTCCTTTAACATTTGTAAAGTCCGAAGTTCGATATTCAATAGCTCCACGGCTTAACCAAACCAAACTGCCCGAGCGAAACGATTATGTTGTTGGAAATGTCAGCACATCGCATTCCCAGCTGCAAGCTTACAGAACCGTGAGTTCGAATGCGAAGATATCTAGTCAATCAGCGTTGTGTTTTGCCAAGGTTACCTGTGGGGTCATCACATTTTGTGATACTGATTACGCTGTCTTGTCTCACGAGGGTCGTGGGCGATTTATATCTTCTTTTTCTTCCTTTTATCATTTCACCCCAAGCAAGGCGATAATACCACAAAGACGCAAGGGGCTATTTTTTTAAGCGTTTCACCCCAAGCAAGGCGGGAAGCCACTAACACGTAAGGGGTTACAGAGAGATGGAGCGAGAGCAAATAGGAGTGATAGAGGAAAGGATGAAGAGAAGGTTAAGGGATAGATCAAGGTATCTGGAGACGTCGATTGACTTTACATTTGAATTTAAGCGTTCAACTAGGCTGGCATCTAACTCTCACCCTTTCACTGTCGAAACTGTTAAATGTAGTCGTCTCTTCTACTCCAATAGCTCCATGTCTCGCACTTCTCGCCTGTGGAACTCCCTCCCCTTTTCCTGTTTCCCTGATAGCTATAATTTCTAACTATTCAAAACAGGATCAATATATTAATAAAAAACAAAAAAAAAAAAAAACACTTAATAATATTAACTTTGAACATGGACGCAATATATTGACCGTGTTTTGAAAAATGAAAACATTTTATAAAACATACATATAACAAACTATTTCTTGTTTAACAGTTAAAATATTTAATCCTTGAATATGGCTAAATGTATAGCCGAAAGCGCTCGAATAAAAAGAACATTCGACAGTTTTTATATAATTTATCATCCGAAAAGAAAAAAAAAATTAGATCGCATGAGAAATAAAAAAAACTAAAAAACTAAATAAAAACACCTTGTCTGTCGTATTCAATGAAATGTGTATGAAATAAGGATTGCTGCCTAAATACACACACACACACACACACACACACACACACACACATATATATATATATATATATTTCGATTATAAGTTTAATTTATTTAATGTCATTTACAAACAACAAATATAGGGTTACTGATTTTTAATTGTCGAGAATAAAAATTCGAAACAATTTCAATTTTACACCCAAAATAACCTGTAGAGGATATGTCCCTGTTTAAAATTCTAGTTTCAAAGGTCTTTTTAAATTTTAAAGACTTCGTCTGTTCTTGAATTTACTATAAAAAACAAGGACAAATCATTCATATACAGGTGTCTGTAGGAACAGTGTATCTTATTAAAATTGTTTGCGAAGATTTATTTTCGGGATCATTTAAATCATTAACCCTATATTTGTTGTTTGTATGAATGATTCATGTAATTATAATTTAAACTGCACCTATAATCGAAATTAAAATAACTGATCGAACGTGCAACTTTTGGATAATATGTGTGACATTCCTGTAATTATTGAACAATATAGTTCATGCCACATTGACGGAAAACCTACCAGTACAAAAGAATTCTCTTATTACTATATTTGTACAAAAACACACAACCTTAAAATTTAAAATTCAAACTCAGCGTTGCGACCGCACGTTCCAAAACAATAACACATTTCCCATAGCATTTTTTCGGATTACATCGCTATTTTCGTTGTCCTCTTATTACCGAGAAGTAAAAAACAAGAACAAAATCTATTTCCATACCTGAGGATGTCTGTAGGAACAGACGAAAGCTTGTAAAAATTAAAAAAGACCTTATGAAACTTGAATTTATAAACAGCGATCATATCATTCATATACAGGTTCGGGGTTGGTGTGTCTTATTTATATTGTTTGCGACGATGTATTCTCGTCATTTAAATCATTAACCTCTATATTTGTTGTTTATGAATGATTCATGTAATTATATATATATATATATATATATATATATATATATATATATATATATATACAAAACAAGGTACTGAAAAAGTTGTCAGTTCGACAATAACTTTGTAAATAATCAAGGATCCCATTTTACATTGTATGCCTAAATTATGAAAAAAAACTCTCTATTCTAAAATGCTAAAAAAAAACGGTTCTGTCGAATGTCCCGTCTGGAGAAAAATCTGTGGAATACAAATGTATATAAATTATTTAAAATAAAATAATTTCGTATTTTTTGCGAGTGAACGAGCCTAAACATTTTGCCCGTAAATCCTATCATCGCCTGGCCCCCTAAAAAGAATTTAAAATTTGGTGCATGTGTAAAGAGGCGTGCTGATAACCCTTAAGCAAGTATATATTCCCCTAATTGTCTTATCCCCTAATTAAAAGATTACAAATATAGTCCAAGCAAGGTTTATAACTTGCAGCGTGGGTCGCTTTATTTGACCCCTAATGACAAGGTTAATCCTTTTCGCGATAAGGTGCAAGTTAACAATCCAAATTCGGCGAACATTCAGACGGCCATCTTTTGCTAATCGTTTGGGTTAAATATAATTCAAAGTAACTTTGGAAGTGAATCCCCAATGCGATTAAATGAGCTGACATTTCCAAGCATATCTATCTATCTATCTATCTATCTATCTATCTATCTATCTATCTATCTATCTATCTTAATCTGTTCATAGCTATCTCAGTCTGTTTCTATCTATCTATCTATCTATCTATCTATCTATCTATCTATCTATCTATCTATCTATCTATCTCAAACTATTCACGTTTATCTATCTATCTATCTATTTTAATCTGTTTATAGCTATCTCAGTCTGTTTCTATCTATCTATCTATCTCAAACTATTCATGTTTATCTATCTACCTATTTTAATCTGTTCATAGCTATCTCAGTCTGTTTCTATCTATCTATCTATCTATCTATCTATCTATCTATCTATCTTGGTCTGTACATATAGGTCTGTCCCTCCCCCTCCCCCTCTCGCTCTCTTTATATATATGTATATATATATATATATGTGTGTGTGTGTGTGCGCACCCGCGTATGCGTGTGTGTCTGTGTGCGTGTGTGTGTGTGTGTGTGTGTGTGTGTTTTTGTCTTTCAGACTTCATCGAACTGAAGGATAAATGGCACTACGAGTAACCCTCTTCCACTTTGTCACACAATTTCCCCAATACTGATCTTGATATATAAAAATATATATCGTCATCTCACTCTCTCACACACACACACACACACGCACACACACATAAGTGCTTGTGTTAATAAAACAATGCTCGATGTACTGCATCAGAACTATTAAGTATATATTAGTAAATATACATATAATTCGCGACTTGGAGTTTCATTGCCCAACGCAGTCTTAAAATAAATGAGAATTATATATATATATATATATATATATATATAAAAATATTTTGAGCTGTGAATATTTTTTTTATATTAAACATAAAGGGAGATTACATGTTTTTGTTTTTTTTTTCAAAAAACAGAAAAACAAACCATAATTTACACTGAAAATTACTCTGGATCAATGTATTTAAGCAGATGTTTATTTTTATGTCTACATGTAGTCATCATAAAACAACAAAAGCCTTAGAATGGTTTACTAATACAAAACGGAAGAATGAATATACAGTTATCCAATTCGATATTTGTGACTTTTAACCATCCATCACAGAGAATATGCTAATGTCTGCCATAAATTTAACAAAAATAGAAAATTACTGTCCTATTAGTGATCGCGAAATAAATATCATAAAGCAGACACAAAAACCCATGTTATTCCATAATGGTTATCAGTGGACCAAAAGAAGTAACCAGAGTTTAATATTGCATTTGATTCAGCAGAGGCATGGGAATGAGTTTGAATCTTGTTATTGTGGCGACTAAGCTTTATTTTCAACATTAAGGATGGCAGACTCTATACAGATGACGGTGTAATTCTCCTCGATACAAAAATGTCTCACAAATCGATTGAGAAAGGAACTGACAATTTTTTTCAGAGATCACGAGCTAAATATTACCACTACCACCAATGTTAAAGTGATCAACTTTCTCGATGTGACCTTGGACTTGAATAATGGTTATTACAAACCATATAGCAAACATCTATTCAACCATAGATACGTCAGTAAAGAATCAAACCATCATCAAAAATTTCCAGATAATTTACATAAATCAGTCCAAGTTAGATTATCTACCAACTCCAGCAATAAGGAAATATTTGATAGTAATAAAATTAAACATATAAAAGCATTAGAACTAACCAACTATAAAGTGAATTTAGAGTATTTAGAAAAAAATCAAATAAACAGAAACACCGTAAGCATAACATTATATGATCTACTTTTAATCATAATGTTCAAACGAATATCAGAAGATTTTTCCTAAATGTAATGCATAAACATTCACCGGCATTAACAAAATTTTAATAAAAATAATGTAAATTATATCTGCCTATGTCTGCCTTAATAACATCGATAAATCTATATCCCAACATAACATAATATCTAATAAATATATTTCCAACAATGACAACGTTATTTTTTTTTTAAATAAATGCATCTTCCGAAAAACTATTATCTGTCCCTTAAAGAGTCAATATATGACTGATAATATTGTATACCGAGCGAGCATACATTCCGGTAACGATGTTAAATTTTATTTTGGTTCCACTGAAAATCCTTGCAAATTTTGTTTCTACCATCATCGAATGACTAGGTAATATAAAATACAAAAACAGCACTACACTCTATAAATATTTCTGGCAATTAAAGAATGATGTTAATACACCTTAATTACCTGGGATATTGTAACAAGAGCTAAATCTTACAACGGAAAAGTAAATAGATGTAATTCATGTCTTGTTGAAAAATTAGTTATTTTAAAACGCTTAAATAGCCTTTGCTTATTAAACAAGAGAAATAAATTGATGGTTACATGTAGTTATTCGAAACTCGTACATGTTTAAGCATTTGTTTTCAGAGGAGTTTGAAGATTGTTTTTTTCTCAACCTTCTTTTTCTATATACCGTGTCCCTTCAGGACGTGGAGGATCATAGCCCCCCCCCACCCCCAACAAATGTTTGTCATTTTGCTATCTCTCCTAATTATTTGTTTTGAAGAGTTTTTTTTTTTTTTTTTTTTGGTTTGGTTTGTTTTAGGGCATATCAACCTCAATGGATTATTTAATACCGACAAAATATTTATTCCTGGTAATTTTTTTTTTCAAAAATGTATAGCTGGTAATATTTTTTTGACTATTTATCCATTGCTGGGACCTTAATAGATGCTACCACACCGGGTCAGAGTGGACCTGGCAATACCATCAATTAATGGTTCCACGCTCCTCAAAACCTGATCAGAAGCCTTGCAGTTGGACGTAGTTTATCGTCTTACCCAGGACGCGGATGCAGTTTATCGTCCTAACCAGGACGGTAACGATGTTAAATTTTATTTGAGTTCCACTGAAAATTCTTGCAAATTTTGTTTCTACCATCATCGAATGACTTTAGGTAATATAAAATACAAAAACAGCACTACACTCTATAAATATTTCTGGCAATTAAAGAATGATGTTAATACACCTTTATTACCTGGGATATTGTAACAAGAGCTAAATCTTACAACGGAAAAGTAAATAGATGTAATTCATGTCTTGTTGACAAATTAGTTATTTTAAAACGCTTAAATAGCCTTTGCTTATTAAACAAGAGAAATAAATTGATGGTTAAATAAAATAAATATCTGCTTAACTAAGTTGATCAATATTAATATTTATTATAAAATTAAGGATTGTTTGAAATCTCCCTTTATGCTTAATATAAATAATAAAAAAAATAATATTCACAACTTTAAAATGATTTATTTTTGCTTATACAAAACTCTTTTATTTAAAATGTCAAATATATGTTTTAAATTACAAAACTGCAATCCCAGTATAATATATAAATGCGCCAACATTGCGATAACCAGATAATTTTATTCAAATTTAAATTATCTCTATTCAGTGCCTGAAGATTGCGTTGTGCATGAAACTTCGAGTCGTGTTATCGGTGAGGATAATATATATATATATATATATATATATATATATATATATATATTCTTTACATTCGATATATAAACCGGTTCGAATTTAATATCTTATAATAAAGAATTATAGCTCTACTATTGTATTGAGCCCTATTTTAAATTAATGTTGTGAACGTTTAATTTGATATTCGGATCGTTCTCTTTATACATATATATATATATATATATATATATATATATATATATATATATATATATATATATATATGTATGTGTGTGTGTGTGTGTGTGTGTATAAAAGTAAATCGCTTAAAATATTCTATATTTAAATATAAATAAAAGTATATATATATATATATTTTTATTAAAGACATTTTTATGTTTAACGTTCTTTTTTATATAGATACAAGTATTTAAGTAAATGCTCTGTTTATAATAAACAGTATTAAATAACATTTATCGGCCAGAATGTCCGAGAAATTTTCATAGAAAATATTCGTCCTTTGACAGGATTCGAACCTGCATACTATACGGATAATTGTGGCCGATTGGTAAGGCACGTCAGCGTAAATGACGGTTACTTCATAAAATAAATTGTCGGACTTTGTCCATTTCTTAATATATATATATGTATATACGAATAGAAATACATGTATAAATAATTAAATTACATATTTTTAAATAAATAATTATATATATATGCTCTAGTTTTGTATCGAGCACTATTTTTTAAAAATAATAACAAAAATACTAAAGAACTTTTGGATTATTTACCTAACGAGTTCTTTCCTATTTTCTATATTTTTCATATATATATATATATATATATATATATATATATATATATATATATATATATATATATATATATATATATATATATATATAAAAAAAAAACACATAGACACGCATATATAAAATAGAAAAAATAAAACATAAAATAAGCGGTAAATACCGTTAATGTTTGATTTATTAATGGCAACATTAAGAAATGGATTTTTGAGATGATGGATTAAGTACAATATATGCGGGATTAGGGTTGGTTGAATAAAAGGTCATGGGGGTCATCCCTAGGACTGAATTGCAAAGTAATATTTCCCTTTGATTTCAGTTACAGTCTAAATAGTAAATCATGTTTCAAACTTGACTCTTATCAGAAAAAATAAACAATTCATATATATATATATATATATATATATATATATATATATATATATATATATATATATATATATATATATATATATATGTGCGCGTGCGTTTAGCTAAAACATTTCGAAAATAATAATAAGAAGAAGCTTTGGTCATGTTTGATTTAATTGTCAAAAGTTTACTTTTTGTATTTACCGAGTTCGGACTATCTCAGGTGTCAGCCATCTTTCTTCAAATAGCACACATCTCGCGAGAGTTGAGCAGAATAACTTTAATCAGTGCTCGTCTCGTGAGACGAAAAGAAAGCATTTCAAGACAAAATCTAAACATAAAACGCAACAATTAATTATATATTATTTCTTTTTTAATTTCTTGGATCGATATAAGACGACTCAAATTTGCAGACCCGTCAAAAGATAAGAGTTAGGTGATACTGCGCCACAAAGACAATCATTTTTCAAACTCAGCAACATAAATGAGGCACGTGAAGACGTTTCGTCTATTCGATGAATAACATGCCATATTTTCCTTTCTTTTTATGTGTCATGTCCTTTGAGGATGTAGGCGATCATGGCTCTCCACCTCCTTCTACCCCTTGCAGCTCTCAACAAGTTCTTTCCATCTGCTTCCTCCCCCAGACCACGTTTGTCAGGTATGTCATGCGCTGTTTTAACGTGTCTCGCTTTCTCTCTATTCGACCTGTGATTATCAGATTCTCCAAGCCCTCCTTCCTCATTATGTGTCCCAGAAACTTC